TTCAACCGATTTCAACAAAACTTCACAGGACTATGTAAAATTACCTTGTGGTGGTTCTGATAGCGCCAAAAATTGGAAAAACATAATTGTTTTTGCATGAAATCAATTTGAAAACACGATTCTGTCGCCAGAATGAAAGGGGGACAACTCATATCGAGTTATACTTATTATAAAACCCAGGTTGTTTGTGTGTGTTCGTTTATATATGGGATTGGATTTCCTCATTTTTCAACCGATTTCAACAAAACCTCACTTTTTTTTGGCAGGTAGTGTTTGTTATTGTTTTGCACACTTTTTTCTTTATTTTTACATTCAGAATGCTTTAAAAATTTCATTTACAAGACAATTGTTTATAATAAAATCCTATTCAATCGATAGACTCATAACGATTGAAAACAATGTTTTTGTTTGAATTTGGGTTTGACCAATTCGTAAAAAAACCCCCAAAAAACAAAACTAATTAAGACATGTGTGTCCGTCAACCTTAAACAATAATCTTTGTCAATTTTATTTTTCAGTCTTTATGATGGTCGATACTTGATCTATCTCTTACTGTTGCAACACCGGGCTCTACTGATAGTAGTCATTAAGAAGTGAGCTCCCGAACTGGCTTATGTTCTCTCTAAACTGTATAATAAATGCCTCACTGCTTTCATGCCTGCTGGAAGTAATCATCTGTTGTTCCAGTTTTTAAGAACTCTAGTGAGCCATCCAACCCTTCCAACTATTGGCCTATTAGCCTCTTATCTCTTTTTAGGAAACTCCTAGAGACCCTAATTAATGCCAAATTGTTTCATCATCTCTCATTGCAGGGTTTTTTTCACAGACAAGCAATATGGCTTTTGTTTCTCCAGGTCAACTACTGATGTACTGACAGTATTTTCAGAAAGAATCTATCATGCTCTAGATAAAAACAGTGAAGCCCTGGACATCTCAAAAGTCTTTGACAGGGTCTGGCATTCAAGTCTTCTCCACAAGCTGAAAAGTTATGCTGACTCCAAACACTCTTTTGAACTGATCCATTCTTTCCTATCAAATCATGAAATGAGAGTTATCCTAAATGGCCACTCATCTAGATCTTTTCATACTAGTGCAGGTGTCCCCCAGGGGTCCATCTTTGGTCCTATTCTGTTTTTAATTTTCATTAATGACCTTCCTGATGACATCAGCTCTCAAATTGGTATCTACACTGACAACACAACAATTTACTTCTACTTCAATAGTAAGGCTGATCAATCTGACATTTAGGGCAGCCAACGTCCAAAATAACCACATGTCTGTAGTTAACTAAGGCAAAAGATGGCTTGTTAATTTTAATGCCCCCAAAACTAGACTTCTCTGTCTTCTATCATCATGGCTCATGCTATCCTTCAGGAAAATGACTTGTTGCACCTTTTTGGGCTCATGTTCTCTGCTGATATAAAGTAGAAAGACTATATTGAATCCATTGCTAGGTTAGCTGCTAAGAAAGTCAGTTCACTATGTTGGGTGAAATAATTTTTCTCTCCAGAATCCCTCTTACATATCTATGTCTACCATTTGTTCATGCTTAGAATATTACTGCCACATATGGTCTAGTGCCTATTTACCTTGAGCTCCTTGATAAAATCCAAAGAAGAATCTGCAATATTATTGGTCCTGATCTGGTGGCTCAGCTCCATTCACTTTCCCATTGCCGTAAGGTTGCCTCTCTGTCTTTTCTGTAAATACTTTCATTGTAATTGTTCAAATGATCTCTTTGCTATGGTACCTAGAGGTTTTGAATTTAAACGTAGCACTAGACTGGTGTTGAGATCTCACTAATTTTCTGTTGAGCTGGCTGGATGTAGGCATAGATTCTATTCTAAGTTTCTTTTCTCTTGCACTTCTCACTTATAGAACTCCCTTCCAGCTCCATGTTTTCCAGCCAACTTTAATCTTCAAAAATTTAAATGCAATGTTAATCACTATCTCCCTGATTAATCTCTTCTCTTTCTGCTCATTATTAATGTTTCTGTTCCTAATTCTTCCATGCCATTTAACCCATTGTGTTTTAGTAGCATTACTGCCTTGCTTGAAGTGATACCAATTTTTAAAAAAATAATGCTTTTAAAAGCATGTAGTTTTGTCTTCATTAACTCTTTGACTTTCTTCTGAGTATGGATCTATTACAAGTGATAAGGTTTATTGTTCTTCCAATGTCTGTAAAGAGAAAGTGGTTGTCAGTTTTGAAATAATTTTAACAGATAAGCAGGAAACAAATTAAAATGAAGGATTTAAAAGTATGGCAAAATCTGTATGGTGTCTTTGTTAATTCTAAGCTTTTTGTCTTTAGTCCATAATCTGTTCCAAGTGATGGAGCTTATTCCTGTTCTCCTATTTGTGAAGAGGAAGTGGACAGAAAAGCAAAACTGTGCAGCATTTGGATTGTGGTGAAAAAACAGCAAACATAAGAATACAACATTAGAAAAGCAGAAGTGTCTAACATTAAGAAATCGACACCAACAATTTGGAAATGTATCAACCAAAATAACATTCCATGTGCATTAAAAAGAAAAATGATCAAGCCAGTGAATGACTTGACCATGCTGTATTTTTGTGGTTTTTCCCAAATGTGGAAAAGGGGAATCCCCAACTCTGGCCTTATGTTGTAAGAAAAAAAATTACCAGTTTTTATGCTATTGAAGCATAAGAATTCAATCACAGCATAATGTCAAGCTGCTTAAAACATTTAAAAAGATCATTATATTACGCAACTTTACATTCTTGGATAGAAGACTGTAGATGATAACTTCATGGTGTGCTTTGCCAAACAAAACATTTGCATACAACAAAGGAAATTGGAAGTGCAGCTGTTGCATTAAATTTTTTCTTTGTATCAATGTCACAAACACACAAAAAATACTGTTTGTCTGTGTCAGACATTATGCTATTGCATGTTATTTCAAGAACTGTAATGAACTCATTTCCTGTGAATAACAAATCACAAAGCAAAACATGGATGACATATACACTTTTTTCATCCTCATTTCTGGAAGAATTGTTATCTGCTGCTCAATCATATTTGCAACTGTTAGATACAAACCATTTTCTTACACAGTAGGTAACACAGCAATTTAGAATTGTTAGACTGGACTATCTAGTGTTTTTTTTTTTTTTTTTTCACAGAACACCACTAGAGTGCTATTATAGTACTATACTGGGGACAATCTTCTTGTCCTCGTTACTAACTGCTGCATATTGTGTGTCTTTCCATAACCTCAAGAACACATGGTTGAATTACCAGGTGTAACACTAAACCTGTTTGATGTATATTACTCTTTGCTGCTTTGGTGTTTTGTTTCTGGAATCTTGAACAGATTTCCTCACTTACATTGTATTTAGATAAGATCAGGTTTGACACAAACATGAACTAGACATGTTTCACAAAAATCTAAAGTTAACAGATTCTCCTGCAACAATGATGAAAAAAGCTGGAATACCTTAAGATAATTTTAAAAAAGGTTAATTTAATAGTAGTTTGAACTTTTAATCACTCATTCACAATTATGATGATGAGAGAATAACAATCATATGTATTTGTTTGCAACATTTTGCCACCTTTTCAATGGTTGGGGTGATAATCTGAGAGTATAATCTTATGGCTGATGTTACATTCTGCTCTTCCTGCATCTCTCTCACATCTCCCAAATCACTTCTCTCTGTTGCCCTCAAGAGAACTTTAAAGTTCACTCTGCACATGTGTATGCGTATACCTACATATACATATAAATATAGTTTGTTGGCATGTCACCAATGACATATTTGTATAATTAGACCATTCATTTACATTCTCTAATAGTCTCTTTTGTTTCAGAAAGCACATGACCAGCTTGTTACTTGGCTGAATTCTGATAAACTACATCCCCAAAACTTTTCTTCCTATAAAATCCCCAGCAAAAATGTCTTTGTGTAAACAAATCTCACAGCCTATAAGTCAGGTTGGGCTGAGTTTTTCAGAAAACCATTTATCTAAAATTATTCTGCCTAAGAAAGCATGGATAGGTCTTTATGTAAACAACTTAATCTCAAGCATTTTTAATTTTCACTGTGGAGTAATTTATTACTTGTTAACGTTTTCATTTGGCAAGTGTAGTGGCTGCATATGAAGCCATACTCTACTAAATTAGTTATCAAGTTTGATTCCTTAAAAAAACCCTCAAAATATCTCATTTCTTGAAACCTTCTGTTTCCAGTCATCATTAAATGCAGTTAAGCATTCTCATTTCTCATTTTATCAACCATAAAAACTAAACCTTTATCTATTTAATACTGTTTGTTAACTATTGTCAAGATTCTTTGGGACCTTACTTGCTCCACACAAGTAAATTACTACTTATAGTCAGTTGGTCAGGGAATTATTACAATAATCAAGAAACCTCACAATAATATGTTGCATGCTGTAATTGGTGAAGGCAGTTCAGACAAAGGACTATTGCAAACTATCAACTCTTTCTTGGTGAAGGATACTTTGTTCATAATCACTGATTCTTGGGACATTAACATTGACAATTACAAGGTGTTGATACAATGGCCTGTGTTAGTAGACATGACAGTGAAGAGAGTACTCATCCAGATCAAAGGATAACCATTGAAAACACTGAGACTTGAGGACAGCTAGCAATAGGAATCCTTGTAAAGGCAGATATTGATACTTGGATAAATTGTAACAATGATATCAGAACAGACACACTCAGCAATGATCTGAATATTAACCTATTCACAAGACAACCAGCAAAGTATAGACTCTGTAGATAAGAATCATCAGTTTCATCAAACTCAAGTACCTGTTCTTTATTGAAGGTTAACCAAAGTTTCCAAATAATCCATACCATCAATATTGACAAAAAGGTATCAGAGTTAATGTAGATTTCATTTTATGACAATATTTGTTTTAAGGATAATTTTTGTTTCCATAATTACTTAATATCCTTTTCTTTTCTTGAATATTCTTTCTATTGTATGACTCTTTATATTTACAGTTTGAAAAAACAAGAAAAGTGAGTGGACCCCGATCTTTGCAACCATCCCAGTGGGGCATGTTATGTCCCTCTGATACCCCAGAAGGAGAGGTAAGAATACTGTTTTCATGTGAGATGCACTTTTTTATAACTGGTTTCATATTTAGAAACAAAATTTGTTTATAAAGTGTAGATCTGTAAAAATCAATTTTTTTTTTTTTTTTTTTTTTTGCATCATAATAATGCTAACCAAGACTAATATGTAACCATCATTTTTTATAAACATCAGCTTCTTTGCTTTATCTTTACAATAAAAATTGACTTTTTGGTGAATTGAAATTTTAGTGCCTATCATGTTTTGTACACAGAAATATAATAAAATCATTATCAGTTTTACATATACAATTTGTATTGGATGTGAATTATTGTGCTGGAACCATATATATTTTCAAGTTTCTGCAGTGATTTATTTAATCAAATAACAGGTAAGAGACATTGTTCTATTGAAATATATTATCTTGATAGTCCAACAGAATCTCTCTCATTTTAATTTCAATGTAAGTTAAATAGTCATTTTAAACTCTTAATGGATCTTAATTGTTTAGATCTTTAGTCTGTGTGATTCACAATGTTAATGTAGCCATAACAGTTGCTAATATGTTAAAACAAATATCCTTTCCATACTGGATTTGTTATATTTATTTTCTTTCTTTTTCAGTCTTGTGGTTTGGTAAAAAACCTTGCACTCATGACTCATGTAACAACAGATCTTAATGAAGGACCAATTGTTCGACTGGCTTTCAATTTGGGTGTTGAAGATATTCAGCTCCTAAGTGGTGAAGAGATGTCCAGTTCTTTGGTTTATCTTGTCTTCCTCAATGGTGAGATTTTCTTGTGCACTTTTTTTCATTTTAGCTTATAGACGATTTCTCTAGCATTAAAGTTGTTGCTGCAATAATTGCACTTTCATGCACCTCCCTTTTTTTTCTCAAAACATTATGCTATAAAAAAAAATTTAATTATTATAGAAGAGTTGTGGTCATGTTCATTACATTTATGTGAAGTTGTGATTACCATGCAGAAAATAATATTTATTATAGAGCAAGATTTTCATAATGGAATTATTTTAAATTGCTTTTATTTGTTTTGTCTATGTAGTTATATTATTGTGAATAAGATCAAATACCATATGTACTTGAGTATAGTGCAAGTTTTTATGATCAGTTTTTGACACAAAAAATAGGTCACACTATACACAGATAAATTTTTGAAGAGTTTAAAACTTGTGCATTTTCAGTGACCTGTTGAACCATACACGGGTAATTTCTTCTGGAAGGGTTAAAATGCATACAAAAAATTCAGGGGTTGGATTATATAGGAAGTCAGCTTATATACAGTATTAACCATTGTCTTGTGTGTCAATCGAAATAACTTTTAAAAAAATGGAATTTTTGTTTACTTCCATCATCTTCAAAACAATATTAATCATGAATTAAGAAAAATAAAAAATTCTTTGTTTTGAAGTTACTTTTAGTTACATTTAAAATTTTGAATTTATCAGTCATCTTGCAGCCAGTTCATGTTAATATGCCAAACAGAATTTGAGGAAGTGCTGAAAAATTCTTAATCTGACCATGAAAGGATTTGAAAAATAATTCTTGTGTTTATTCATTTAGTCAAATTTTTAGAAATAGGTTGATCTGCCAACTTTTCACCACCCCTTTCTTATTTACACTATTTACATTGTTCAGACTATTGTCCTCTTCTTTATTGTTATGTTCATAACATTTCAGCCGTTGTACGCACTGGCCTTCTTCAGGTGATATATGTTGGAATTTTGAACGAACACTTGGAAATAGTGTAAATAGTTACAATACCTCATCTCAGAAATATAGACAGACCTTTTCTTATTGTAGATTTGAAGTTAAGGCAAGAAAGAAAATAAGTTCATCTTGCCTTGTTAAATTTACTCCTTAAAAGGCATAAATATTTGTTGGCTAATTTTGTGATTCATATGCAACATGACAGTTATTAAATGAAAAGGAATATTCATAACTGAAGAAATGGCAGACAGACATGTTTAGTGTATATTCTTTCTATAAAGAATTTATCTTGATTTGAATTCTCTTAATAGTTTCAGTATTAATTCAATTTAGTGACAGTCAAATAAAATTTGACAAGTCTAAACAAAGAAATAAATTCATGATTTTATGTCATAAAACCTGCATATAAAGTTTCATAAACAATATCTAATTTGAATTTTTATTTTACAAAAAGATACATGGAAAAATTTCCATTTATAGATTCATTTAAGAATTTAATTCTCTTTGTAATTGTTTTAGGACAATAAAAATAAGACAAATCTAGAAACTTATTTTGACTTTTTTTTTTTCTCTATATTGTTCAGGTAATATTCTAGGGGTGATTTGTGCATACCGCAGGTTAATCAACACATTTCGCTTGATGAGACGAGCAGGCTACATCAGTGAATTTGTATCTGTTTATCCCAATCACAAACACAGGTGTGTTTACATTGCAACAGATGGGGGACGTTTGTGCAGGTAAGAATCCATAATACTTTGATTTACAGTCAGATTTTATTATACAATCAATATTTTTGCCAAACAAATATTTGTATTAACCAAACAATGATGGCAAAAAATTCATAATATATTTATATGAACAATGTATCATATGAGTTATATATGCTTATTAAAAATCCCAGACATGCTCCCATTTTGTCACATGTGTGGCAAAAGAAATAAAATAAAGAAAAGCAAATTGAATGGCAGGAAAACCAACTAAGTTTGATAGTAAACAAAAAAGGTTTTATTATAATTTTAGTGATTGTAGTCAGTAGCTAAAAAGGAACAAAAAACAAAAGCAAGAAGTTAGAAATACTTCAGAAATAACTTTGCTCGTGAGTTACTTGGTTTTTGTGGTATAGTTTACATGTCAGGTCAGCAAAGAGTAAATTTCAGCAACAACTGACTTAGCCAGAGGACTAGCTTATTAATGGTTCCAACCAATGAATACAAAATCCCAGATGAAAGACCTCCACTGGTAAGATCATTTGCCCACATCAAATGACCCACAACTAGAAGTTTCATTCATAAAAAAAATAGATTCTGTTAACAATTGATAACTTCTTTTCCAGAATGGTATCAGGTTTTATTATGCAACATATATTTATAAATAAATCCAAAAGATATAAACCATAGAAATATATTCTTGATTAACACAGTATCTGATATACTTGAATAAATTGTTTTATTATTTTATATTAATATGGGTTCTACTCAAACAAAATCATATTTATATAACTTTCCATTCACACTTGTTTGTTAATCTTGGTTGATATGCTCACAACATTTTGGTTGTTGTATGCTTTGGCCTTCCTCAGTTGTTTGTTGTACCTGATAACCTTTATCTAGAATTTTGAACTAAAATCTTTATTTAGTCATTGGGAGTGGCAGATTATTCTCATTTCACTTTTCATGCTTAGGGAATATCTTTTAGCAGTTAAGTCTATTCACATGTTACATGTCTGTTTCTTTCACTGAATCAGAGTATATGATTTTCCTGTATTGCCTGACCCAAGGATTGAACTCCCCACTGCCAGGAAACCCCATATGCTTTAACCAATTGCCATATGTCTCTTGGATCATCTGATGGATTAATTTTTGAGCCTTGAAGATGGTATTCATATACATGCTAGGTCTATTGAGGAGATTGTCAGAACCTAACATGTGTGCTGATTCTTTCAGTCATCTTATCCACCAGTGTTATTTTTTGCCTATTATGTTGGTAACCATCCTATTCCCTCTATACATGATCAGCCATGCCTGATATCAATACCTTATCTGGACTACAGCCTTTCACTGTTCCTTCACCCTTACCTTTAGAAAATAGCTGGTTTTAACCTTTTATTTCTTGCCACAACTGCATGTGATGGAATGAACATAGCTCTTGATCATTTTCTCTTTCAAGGAGGCTTGGTTCAGGAGATTAGGATGTGCAGGCGGTGTAATGGATAGCGTCTCTGAATGAGAAATTGGAGAGCTGAGTTCGAATTTGCATTCACTTACATACAAATACCCTTGGGAAAAACCTGAATCTGTTTCCTCCCCCATCTATGGGTTAAACAGTAAGACGTATCTGTAAAAATCATTGTTATTCTCCAAAAAATTGTTAATGCAACACTAACAAAAAAAATATATTATTCTTACAATCCAAAATATAACTCACAAATGGTTGATAAGGTATAAAAAAAAATCAAATCAGTCAATAAGGAAAGATATCGCCAAAGGATTGAACTGCTTTTCAATATTGTTCTGTGGTAATTTTTTTTGTTTTTTTTTTTCCTTCACTCATCCATCTCTGCTTGAAGAAGCTGATGTTATGGTTTCAGGGTAATTTTTTACCTTGAAGGGTTTTTCTAATGTAGATTATCTCCTGTTGGTATTGTTGTGGCTTATCACTTATGAATTTGACTTAATGTTGTAGGCAGCACATAATCTGACCCTATACAGATATTTTGAACCTGTACTCTGGATAAGCTATTAGCACATCTAAGAAGCTAGTTGATCATCTGCTTCCTTCACTATTTTGAAATGTATGGAATGTCTTATTGAGTTCATAGTTCAGCAGAGCTTGCCCATCTTTCTAGTGGGGCCAGAATATGAAGAGGTCATTAAAAGGAACTATTATTTAAGCAATTTTTTTTTTTTTATTTCAAAGAAAGAAATAGACCTGGAGAAAATCAGTTTTTTTCACTATAAAGTATTTTACCTTCTGCTTGTAATGACATGGTTGTCTTTAGTTGGTGATATTCCCATAGCTTTTTTTCTCAAAGTATTTCATGCATATGGGAGATAATGGTGATCCCATAGCTAAACCTTCTTTTTTTGTATATGTTAGAACTTAATTCGAAGTATGTTGTTTTCACACAGAATGTCAAAATCTTTGTTGAGGCACTCATACACTCTCTCTTAGAGAGGGATCCAATTCTAATTTGTCAGAAATTACTAATAGTCTCATCTGTGGGAACCTTGATGACTAGGCTCACAATGTCCAAGCTCACCATCCAATTGGTATAAATAGGAATATCTTTGATGGCTTCCAGAAGGTGGGCAAAGTTCTTTACAAAGAATGGAAATTTACCTGTTTGTATGTTGGTTATACCTATCAGAACATTCCCAGTGGGTGACAATTCCTTATCTAAAAAGTTGTGACATAAACCAGTCATATTTGTTGAAACCATTTATTATATTTTATGACATGAAATAAGTAATCCATTTATTATTAAAATAAAAAAACTAGCTTTATCCTATATTACAAAATAATCATTATAGTTAATTATTTCTAATTAACAAAATTATTCATAGAATGAATAAAAAGCTTGCAAACATTTTGAAAATTTGTTCTTATCAGTATTTCCTACATTTGGAAGCATTTTTTAAAGCCATTTTTAAATGCTAGCACTGATTGAGAGAGAAAAAAAAATGTCCTGTCAAAAGTATAACCATTCATGATGTTTAAAATATTGCTTTTTTATTTTTTTTGTTCTATGTTACAAGCTACCACCATATTTCTTGTGTATAGGATGAACAGTCTTATTTGCTACATCTAATCTAGTATAATGTTTGTTCAATGAGCCTGTTTTTTTTTTCTTTGTTGTTGTTTATTCTTTTCTTTTGTATGTCAAGGGAAAACATTAAATTTTTCTACTTATGTTGCAGGCCTTACATTATTGTTGAGAAAAGTATCCCTTTGGTAACAAACAAACATATTGAAGAACTCACACAAGGTTTCAGGTAAGTATTATGAACAATAAATTATTGCTAGATGATTTTCAATTTTTCCTTTTTAATAATTGCAAAATGTGAAAAACAAAACCAAAGAAGAAATTTTTAATCTTTAGGAAACATCTTTCCCTTCCATTTAGATTTGCTTGTATTAAAAAAAAAAAAAAATTGTTGATCTCTTGTCACTCTGACAATTATATTCTAAACTTAATAAGTCAAGCCCTTATTTTAATTTAATTTTGATAAGTCAAAAATATTAATATTTATTGCTAATGATATTTACAGAGGATATGTTCTTTATTTGATTTACACTTTGAAAATATGTTCCAGGTAAACTTATATTAACTTTGAGGACACATTTCTTTGCTCATTTTTATCTGTTTCATGTTTAACAAATAAAAGATAGAATTTAATTGCCATGCTAAGGCTTCATAAAAACTTTTTTATTAAGTTTTATTTACAAATGTAAATCTAGTATTTAAATATAATTCTCTTTCTATACTTGTTGCGGGGAAAAATTCACAAGAGATGTCTTTGTCATCTTACCCAATACAAGCAAGAAATGGTCTTACATGAACCATATAATTTCTATATCAGTCTTTGAGCAAATACAGATTGCATGAAAGTATATTTAAAAGTTTAGCAAGTTGTATGCGGCCATTTTTTATTCTTATAGTTCATTCTTGAAATATGATGTAGTCAAAAGAAATGCTCACCAGAATGTGGAACATAGATAAATTTGTCAGTGTCTCTTTCATTTTTCCCAACTGTTAACAATTCAAAATATTTAAATATTGCTATTTTTTTAATAAATTATTTTTATAAAAAATCCTCATCAAAATTTTATATTCATGACCTGTATTAAGATTTTTACCAAGATCTAGAAAGGTTCTCACTTGGCTTATTAACAAACAAAGTTTTCATAAATCTTTTAAAACCTTTGTATCAACATTTTATTTTTGTTTGTTTTGTTATCAATTTCTAAATGAAAACATGTGAAGAAATATTAAGTAACAAAATTAATATAAAAAGTCATTTCTTTAATTGCTACTCTAAAATATTTCCTCTGAAACATATGTTAAGTATAACATTACCTTTATATTAAAAGAAAATATTATTTAAGCAATTTCTTTTATTTCTAAGAAAGAAATATATCCAGAGAAAATCACTGATTTTTTTTTTTTCTCCACTATAAAGTATTTTTTCCTCTGTAATGAAATACCCTTCTTATATAATAAAAAAAGCAATTGTTTATGTGCGTTTATTTTAGAAATGTCTGGATTGTTGTATTTTTTGATTTCTTTTTCCATTTTTTTTGTGTTTAATATTAACCTTTCCCATGTTTACCAAATAAAGATTAAAAAAAAGTTTTAAGATGATTTAATTTTAATATCATTTTAAAAATATTAATAATCCGTTGTCTTATTCTACACTGAAATATTATTTGAAAGTAATACACAAATACTCAATTTTATAATGCAAAAAATGTTCGATTATTTTTGCTTAATTCTATAACAAATAAGAGTCAAAATTCTTTTGTTATTCAGGAGCTTTGATGATTTCTTGAAAGAAGGTTTGGTTGAGTATCTTGATGTCAATGAAGAAAATGATTGTATGATTGCTCTAAATGAAGGTCATATCACATCGTAAGTGTTTAAAATGTCTCTTTTTCATAACCCTTGTATTAACTTTTAGTCTTGTATATGAAATAGATATTGAAACACAAAAGATTATATTTTAGCTTGCTAATTTCTATATTCTTTCTGGTTATTATAAGTACTGAAAGTTGTTCAGAGATGTGCAACATGAGTTAGTTTCTCATTAAAAGTTTTATTTAGAAAGTATTAGCTGGCAATTTATGTTTAGTTGTTTACTGGAAATTTACTTCAGTGATACAGCCACATGATCAGGAAAGCATCATAACAATCAAGAAATATCACTAACACGTGTGCTGTCATCATTGAAGACTGTGCAGATAAAGGCTTTTCATAAATTATCACTTCCTTCACAATGAAGGACACTTTATTTATGGTCACTGATCCTCATGAGTGAAGCTATGAACAATTTGCAACTTTTTATAAAGTGGTATGAAGCACAAAACTAAACTAAGTCAAACGTTATTAAGTTCCTGCCAAATGCTAAGAGTTGCAAAAATAAAGAAACACAAATAAGTTAACAGTTATTTGATATTTCCTTCAAAGAACAATTGATCATTACCTCAATAAACTTAGGGCACCTTGATGTAGTGTAATGATTAGCAAATTTGTCTCACTAGAACAATTATGACCAAGTAGTAAGTTCAATTCTCACTGGTTGTTCTATATGTCCAGCACTGTATCACATCTAAGCTACACTTACAAAATCGCCATTACCTTAATGAATTTTACTCACAGGAATTTTTTGTCTTTGACACAGTAAACTTTCTGTGCACATACTTAAATGTATTTTGTATAATTATGTCATAATTCTTTGAAGCTCCATATTTGTATTATTTAAACAAATACATGATTTTATTTGTAAAATAAAATATCATAAATTATTAAGCAATATTCTGTGTTTTTACTCATTTTATTGATTGAATAAAAGTGCACACTGTTTATACCTGCTTTTCCATGTGTTCAATATGGCTTCCTTTTTATGATCAAATATTCATCACTGCTCATCTTATTAAGATAATCATACACTGTACATATTCTTTTAAAATATCCAAGAATAAAATTTAACTTTTGTACGTAATGTTGTTGAACAAGTTTTCAAAAAAAAGTTTGCAAAAACATGCAAATGCCGACAAATTGGGTTATTTTTATAACATAAAAGAACATTTGAATTATTGTTGAAAAAATCAAACTAAAAGTTATAGCTATGATTAAATTGGCTGTTTTGCTATTTTATGTTCATACTGTGATTTTAATGATTAACTTATTTCTTTTTATTTTACAAATTAATTGCAAATTTATTTTGACAGAAAACTAAAAGAAAAATAAAAAAATAAGTGTCATTAGAGCAAAGCATTAATCCAGATTAAAATTGTTTTTTGTGTATGAGATATATATATATATATATATATATATATATATATATATATGTGTATATATATATATATATATATATATATATATATATATATACTATTTATTGCTATAATTATTATTATTTCTCTGTATGAAATTGCATGGTTCTTTTGGCAGTAGCACTTTTTAACCTGATACAGATGCTTTTCTGAACAAATTTATCAAACAAGTTTGTACAAAGATATAATTTATTTATAAAACATGAAATCTAATTCAATGTAATAAACAATAACATTTACTTGTTTTTATACTAATTATATTAATATTGTTGTGTGTGCATCATTAACGTTGAAAGCTTCTTTTTTCTTGCAATTGAATTCCTTTGTGTTGCTGAATATTCTTCCTTTTTTATTATACTGATGTGCTAAATGTCATTGGACAAGTGCTTAGTATTGTGTAGGGCCCCTTCTAACCTGGCAAAGTATAGAAATTTAATGTGGTATCGTTTCCACACGTGATCAGAAGACCTCTGAAGAGTTGTTACATAAGCCATACTATCTTAATAACTGTCCACAGATCCCTGATATTTGTTGGCACATGTGCATATGATCCTCTCCACATCTCATAAATGGGTTCATCATAGTGGTTACACCATTCATCAAAAGTCTGCAGTACATTCTTCAAAGCAATTCTGGACAACTTGGACCCAATGACATGGTGCATTATCTTGTTGGAATAACCCATTGTTATCGAGATACATAGTTAATAATTGTGGGCAAATAGTCATAAATTATTGCAACATAGTGATTACTGGTCAGTGATAAGTTTAGGCAAACCAGCAGACTCAACAGATGCCACATAAACACCTCAGCCACATACCATTATAGAAATGGAACCACCATCACCAGTTGACATGGTGTCCTGTTGATAACTGGGGTCTCATTGGTTTGCTTCCCACCTGAATCCTATTATTATTCCAAAACAATTAGAATTATAATTCATTAGGTCAATTTCATATGTTGCCAGTTCTTCAGGGGCCAATTAGCAATGTCAGAGGCCTAGGTGAGTTACTGCGTTTGGCACTCTAGTGGATCTTCTGTTCTCATATGCTATCAAAGCTAAAAAAACACTGAACTTACCTATTGGTACCTCCTGTTACCACAAACATTTCTAGCTAGATACCTCTGGTGATGATTATTAAGGACCTGGGGTCAGCTATTGCACTTCATCAATTATTCCCAGTATGCACACATATGACAGTGTAGATATGTCAAATGTCCTCACCATTTAAAAAATAGAATGTCCTATCTATCTGGGTCTTAACCCACTATTGTGTTGCAATTGGACTCTGATCATTCACATCATCTTTACATAAGCAGCTTAGCTGGTATTCATACTGACTCACCATGGCTGAGCATTTCCATGATGGGAAAATATGATGGCTTTACTTTTGGTACTTCACTGTACAAAGTCTGTCTAAAAAGTAACAGGACTGAATATGCTGTGTGGGCTATGGGCAAAAGAGGAATAAGCAGATTATGTTATCATCTAACATGATACCTTGGGAGTATATAACTGTAATCATAGCTTTCTGAAACCATTGCATTTTTTCTCACATGTGTAAGTTGTGGCAGGACAAATCATGGATGCTTCACCACAATAATGCACCTGCTCACAGTACCATGAGCATCCAGCAGTTCTTGGCCAAGAAGAACATCGCCATTCACCTGCTGATCTTGCTCTGTTTGCCTTTTTTCTTTTCCCCCAATTACAAGGGGATCATCAAGGGGACCCATTTTGAAGGCATGGAGATCATATATATATATATATATATATATATATATATATATATAGTGAGTGAGTAAGCCATACATGAAAACAGTTACTGTATTTGATGATATATAAGACCACTACTTCTTTTTCTACTCCTAAAGTTGGTCATAAAATATCTCTTAAGTCTTATATTCAAAGTTTAGGGATTTCCCTGTTTATCTAGATGCTGTAGATTATTCATACTTATGAGACTAACTGTACGTTACTGTAATATTAAATGTAAATAGTGAAGGGTTCTTATCTGTGATCACATATGATAATTAAAATACCAAGATCTTTTTTTCATATATAATTTGTCCTATAAGAGCTTTTGATAGATAGGAGGATGTTATTATTTTTGGTTTAAAATAATGTTTTATAGATTCTCTATTTAATTTATTAAGAGCTACAAAGGACAGGAAATTGTGGAAAGCTATGATTACCTACATCCTGAAGAGACATGGTACATTGAAGAAAACTTGATGGTTAAAAAATAAAATATTTAATCTAATTCACTTTTTCCTTTCTTTTATCAAAACAATATTGATTGAAAAGTGTAAATATTTTTCTCTTCTATTTATATTCTATTCAAACCTGTTAAAGTTACTAAAAGTGTATAAGAGTGTCAACAAATTCCTCTTATTAAGAAATCCTTTTGAAGTTTAATATTTTGAATTACTATTTGACTACATCATGAGCTTTTATAGTAGTACTGGTTTTATTCTATTGATTTCACACACATTGTTAACAAAATCAATCCTCATTGAGTACTCTCCAAATGCAGCCTTGTATCCAAGATTACATTATTATTAGTACTAGCTGAAAAGCTGCACTATCGGATGGCATTTAAGTTAGATCCTGCAGAGGGCTCTTGATTGAGTCTTTGTCACAATAGGTAGGGAGGTGTAGATGCAATAGGCAACAATAAACTACAGAAGAACACAAAATTGATTGCTGCATTTAAGTATTGCATTAATATTTAAACTTACCTTTTAAAAGTTCAACAATAATTCTTCTGTTGCCACTTAATTTAAAGACAATTTGATGTACATAGGTCCTTACTTTCTGTACAAACAATTATTTTTATTTTATGGGTGACTTTTGCAGGATTTCACAATTAATTTCAGTTATTCCCAAATTTACTTTCAAGTTGTAAAAATTGTTATTGTACAAAAAAATTGTCGCAAAAAATTCACTGAAAACAGTCACAGTAATGAAAACTTGTTTGCGAGTCTATACCTGGAATGTTTTTAATTTGCTCACAGTCAGCCAGATTTCAAAATGCTCTGATATGTTGGGCCACAGCCTCTAGGAATAAAGTTGAAAACACAGACAACTTTATTTTGAAACACTGTAATTTGAGAACAGTAATTTTTCATTTGAACATGAGCTATTGAAAGTTAGAGTTGTGTCCCTTTAATTGTTTTTATCAGTAGAAGCTAATATGGTGAAATCTGAAAACAATCGCAGTAATGAAACTTGGGAATCCAAAATTTCAGGAATACCATTCCACATCCAACCAGGAATGATTTTAATTTTCTCACAGTTGCACTAAAATTGACATTTATTATATAGATGATCATCTACTGAGAGTTGTGTCCCTTTAATTGAAAAAGTGTGACACACTGACATTTTCATTTATTATATAGATTATTAGTCTTATGATTTACTTAGAAATTTTCTTAATCTTTATTATTTCATATTACATTTTTCTTCAACTAAGTACAATACTATTACTATTTTTAGTATATGTCTTAATTATTATTACAGCTGACAGCAGAGTATATTAAAAGCTATACTACTTTATAAATAAAATACAAAATTATTCTTTGTTGTTTTTCTTTTGTATTTAGAGAAACGACTCACCTGGAGATTGAACCCTTTACAATTCTTGGTGTATGTGCTGGTTTGATCCCATATCCTCATCACAATCAGTCACCCAGGAACACCTACCAATGTGCTATGGGCAAACAAGCCATGGGTAAGAAATTCATATACCATTTTTATTTGTCCTTGTTTATCTTAACTCATTTCATTTTGCTCACATTTGTATTGATACTTTCAAAGAGGCTATGTTAATTCACCCCTGACTTAATAATTCTTTTCATGTAGCATTCTTACTCAGTTTTAACCATTGCCCTCTTTTTCATACATGTGCTCAACTCTATTTGATAATCTTAGTGTCTTTTTTAGCTCATGTTGTCTTGATTGATCTTTGCCAAATCAGATATTCTAGATAACAACTCAACAGGTTTATAATAAAATAGCAATAATAAAATGCTTGACCTTTTCATCAAATGTTTAGTATATTTGTGACACAAACCGATTTTATTTATTGATTGATAAAGTAATGATTAATTCCAAAATAAAACGCAAACATTTGAAAATGTCTTATTTTTTTATTTATTTTTTTTTATAAGATTTTATTAAATTTAAAGGATTTCCAGTTGGTTCCAATTGATATAGGAATGACTGCAAAAACACTTCCCTCCCCAAATGTATAGACAAAACATACAGATGTACGGAGGCTTATTTTCTGTTAAAACAGAGTGGGGGGTTGTTGGGCAAAGTCTAGAAACTAAATTGTCTACTAGAAACGGAAATCACGATTTTGAAATCAATATTTTGTCTTTTAATTTTATCCTTTCTTTTTCCTATCACAGTGCCCTCATCTCCATCATACATGGTGATAGAGATGAGGGCACTATTTACATTATTTGGACTATTGTCCTCATCATTGTCAGCTGTTGTAGGTGGTTGGAATGTCAAACTGAACCCTTTATTTCGCTCACTGGGTACTGTTCTAGTTCCACGTGCCATGTTTAATGAATATCAGTTATCTCCAGTTAATTCTCCTCTGCCTTACCCGGGTATTGAACTCACATTCTTTGGGTCCTATCACTGGATCTAACCAATGTCTTTATCCTCTGTGCCATGTGTCCTTGAGGACATCTGTGTATGAATTTCTGGGTATTATAAACCTAATGTCTTCAGCAACCTTTTTTACCAGTGCTCATATTGCAATTTTTGCTGTTATCATTGCATGTTTTTACCAGAGCTCATATTGCAATTTTTTGTTGTTGTTATCACTTTTCTCTGGCACTCCTTATTAATGGTTCCCATATTCATTTCTGTGCTTGGTCGGCTCAGGAGATTTTTGTGGCCTAGCATATGTGCTGATTCCTTAAGTTTACAAAGTTTCCAATGGTGTTCTTTGTCTATGATCTCAACCTGATCCCACAGAGGGCGGTGATCTCCCTTTTCTCTCCATATGTGGTCAGCCACATCTGATTTTTCCACTTCCCCTCATGTTACAGCTTTCTGGTGTTCTTCAAGCCTTACCTTAAGAAGGTGGCTTGTCTCCCCTTTATATTTATTTCCGCAGCTGCACAGGATAGCATACACATAGTCTTTAGTCATTTTCTCCTCTATGGGGTGCGTCTTATTCGGGAGAGATATCTGGGAAGTCTCGTCCAGCTTTTGAAGATTGTCCTGATTTTATATGAACTGCTGATCCTTTGTATTTTTTCGTTGATAACCCTTTCATATAAGGCATCAAACTGTTTTCTGAGTGTTGTTGACCTCCTCCTCTTGTACCCGTCTATCCCAGGTTTTTGTGGCTGCTGCCATGTACTCAGGGTAGTTGTTACGTTTTAGGGTACTACTTATACTGACCAATTCTTTATCTAATGTCTCTAGGTTGCCACTTTTGACTTTTGCTCAGTGTTGTAAGCAGTGAACAATCCCTTTCTTTACGCTGTCTGGATGGTGGGAGTTGAAATTTAGGTACTGTCCAGTGAATGTCTGTTTATGGTATACGGATGTCTTGAACCCATGCTCTGTTTGAGATATTAGAACATCCAGGAATGGGAGTGTGTTGTTACTCTCTTTCTCCATCGTGAACTGTATCGAAGGTCTTATTGAGTTCACATGGTCCAGTAGAATCTGAACATTCTTGGTGTATGAAGGTGTCATCTATGTACCTTAACCATAGAGTTGGCTTTAGAGATATAGATTCTAATGCCATTTCCTCAAAGTATTCCATGTATATATTCGCCATTGCTGGTGATAATGGCGAGCCCATTGCTAAGCCCTCATCCTGTCGATATATGTGTGATCCCATTCGAACACCTCCATCAGATTATCTATTGGAATTCTGGTTCGTTCTTTTAGGGATGTCAGCGGCCAATCTGTCTCTGACTACTGAGAGTGCCTCCTCCGTAGCTACCTTGGTGAACAAACTCACCACGTCCAAGCTCACCATGGATGGGAACATCTTTGATTATTTCCATGTGGGTGGAGTTCCGGACATATGAAGGAGACTTTCCAATCAATGGGTCAATTATATCTACAAGGAAGTGACTCAGAGGGTGGCACACACAGCCTTGGCTACTAACAATCGACCTGAGTGGAATACCATCTTTGTGAATCTTAGGGAGACTGTATATGTGAGGTAGCTTAGTGTAATGCTGTGACAACTGTCTATATATCTTAGGTGCGAAGTGATCTTGGTTCTTGATTAGTATCTTTGACAGTTTGTGTTCTGTTTTCATTGTAGGATCTACAATTTACTTTGATGTAGCTACCATTGCTAATGAAGTCTTCCAGCTTTTTTGTATAATCTGATCTGTCCATCACTACAGTCGCATTGCCTTTGTCAGCCAGTAGTATGAGGATGTTTTTGTTCCTCTGTAGGGATCTGATCACCAGCCTCTCCAGTTTTGTTATGTTAGACCTGGGCAGCTTGGACATCTCCAAGGTCTGTCTCACTTTCCATCTCAGTTCATCCACCTGAGCCTGAGGGATGTTCAAGGCCACCTCCTCGACTCTGTTAATGATGTTTGTGGCGAAGTTGAGACTCTTATTCAATACTGACTCCTCAGAGGCACTCAGCTGATATTGGCTGATGTTGATTACTGCTTTCACTGGTGGGTGATGGACTTTGTGCATCACCTTCTGATCTTTCAATCTATTTAATTTTTGTACTTGGCGAGTCTTGACTACATCAAATTCATGTCTAAAGGATTTATCCAGGTCATTTTGGATCCTTCTCCGGTTTTCTTCATTGATAATTCTGTTGAAGAAATTCTCGAGCCTCTGGGAGATATGAGCTTGCAGTCTCTCTTTTATGAAACGATTGTACTGGATTCTCTCTCAGACAAGGGCATGTCTTGCTTTTTCTGTGACCAGACGGGCACTCCTTGGAAAGTCTTGGTGCCAAGCCTGAAGGGATGAGTTGTAGATCTCTGCATCATTGTAGGAATGTCAGATGGTTCGATATTTGTGCCAGTTTCTGGTATGATTTTTCAATTTGTCTCCATGTTTTCAGTGTATCAGGTCTGTACTGATCCTTCAGTATCTGTCTATATTCCTGAGATGAAGTATTATGTACACTATTTCCATTATTCATTGCCTTATGTGAAAGGGTTATCAGAGCAAATACAAAGGATCTGCAGTGCACATAACATCAGGACAACCATCAAAAGCTGGATGACACTTCCCAGATATCTCTCCCGAATAAGACCCCCCCCCAGAGGAAAACATGACTAAAGACTGTGTGTATGCTGTCCCATGCAGCTGTGGAAAGAAATATAAAGGGGAGACAGGCTGAAAGAACACCAGAAAGCTGTAACACGAGGGGAAGTAGAAAAATCAGGTGTGGCTGACCACATATGGAGTGAAAAGGTAGATCACCACCCTCTGTGGGATCAGGTTGAGATCATAGACAAAGAACACCATTGGAAAATTTGTAAACTTAAGGAATCAGCATATATGCTAGGCCACAAAAATCTCCTGAGCTTACCAAGCACAGAAATGAATACAATATGGGAACCAGTGATAAGGAGTGCCAGAGAAAAGTGATAATAACAAAAAATTGCAATATGAGCTCTGGTAAAAACATGTATGATAACAGCAAAAATTGCAATATGAGCACTGGTAAAAAAAGGTTGCTGAAGACATTAGGTTTATAATACCCAGAAATTCATACACGGATGTCTTCAAGGATAAAGGCGTTGGTTAGATCCAGTGACAGGACCCAAAGAGTGAGTTCAATACCTGGTTAAGGTAGTGGAGAACTTGGAGAGGGGAATTAACAGGAGATAACTGATAACTGACATCCATTAAACACGTGGAACTAGAACCCAGTGAGCAAAATAAATGGTTCAGTTCAACATTCCAAGAAGGCCGGAGCATACAATGGCCAAAATGTTGTAATAAATATGGCAACAAAGATGAGGACAATAGTCTGTATAATGTAAATATTTTACATAATACTTCATCTCAGAAATATAGACAGATACTGAGGTGAGGGCATTTTGTCATTTCAGAAAGCCAAATTTTACAAATTAGACTTTTTTCAAAAATGTTATTTAAAAATTTCAATAAAGTTACCAAACAATAATGTAGCTTTTTGCCTCTAGAAGACTTTGTGGTGCTAATTTTCTGTAGGTTTTGACACTTTCACTTAATTCTTATTTAGTCCTAGAAACTTAGACCAAGAACTCTTCATCACTGCCCTTGAACAAATGCTATGTTTAATACTAACATCTTTTTTTTTTTCTTTTGAAATCTCTTGGTCTGTATATCTTGTAATGAAAATAGTACTGAGTTACAATTTCTATTTTCTCTTATTCCAAGTTTTGGTTTTGATTCAGTTTATTTATCTTTTTTCTGATCTGTTTTTGCATTCCAGTATTTTTCAGTTTTTATAAATCAGTTTGTAATGTTTTCTTGGGAGGTTAACACTTGAACACCCAATGGGGAATATTCTCTTTAATGTTTTGTAATAAAAAAAAAATTAAACTGAAGCTGAAAAAATGTTTTCCTTTAGGATCTATTAAACTTTAGTAGTTGGTTTTAACATTTTCCTTGGACTCTGCAAACAACTTGATAAAGGACTAATGGATGGTAGTAAGTAGATAAACATATGTTAAGAGATGAAAGCCAACCATTTACTCTTAATTATAATATTAAGATAAA